TTTAGCCACAACCATCTCTGGTAGCTGCGCTGGTAGGCAGCCTCTTCCTCCTCCCTTAGTCTCTCACGCGCGACTTCGGCTTCGGCTTCAGTGATATCTCTCTGAATAGCCGCATCCCTTTCGCTTTCATCAGTTGGATATCGTCTGCCCAAGCTGAAAGGACTGCTATTCACTAAGAACTTGGCCTGTGCAAACAGGCTCGTTGTAGTTGCAGTCGCTCTGTCAAGCCAACGGCCATCTTCGGAGCTATTCTCTTCAAAGTTCGGACCTCGATGCTCACGGTTGCTTCGTTGACGGGGTTCCAACGGTGCTCCAGTCAACAGTTGTGTACGCCGCATCTTATCCGGTCTCGTACTCTCAGTCGGTCCAAGCGTGCCCCTGGTGGTATTAGGAGGTAGCAATCTGGGTATAGGCCTTGGATGCGGCGGTGCAGGCGACGGTCCACCTATCCGCGTTCTCTGTACATTCTCTCGAGGTGCTTGCTGTGAGCGTCCAGGAACTGGAGTATTAGTCTGCAGAATAGGTCTGGGTTCCTGACGTCTAATAAGATCGTCTTCTTCACTTCCCTCCCGCTCCTTATCGGTAGCATTAGTATCCAGTTCGTTTTCCTCTTCTTCGTCTTCATGTTCTTCTTCTCCTTCTTCTTCTTCTTCCTCCTCCTCCTCCTCCTCCTCTTCTTCTTCTTCTTCCTCTTCCTCTTCCTCTTCTTCTTGCTGTTCAAATCGCGGTTGTCGAGCAGACTGCTGCGGTGGCCGGCGAGGTGGTGCGCGCAATGGAGATGGACCCACGGTTGATTTTGCTGGTCCCTTGTAGGCGTTCTGTGGCTGTCTGACAAGATCTACTTGTTCGTTTTCACCAATTATAGCAGGCGGTTTGTTCATTGTTGAACGTGAGGGGGTCTCATTTGCAGAGACGGAGTCCCCTGACAGTTCGTCGCGTAATTCTGGCCGTTGAGGTGGTAGAGCTCTAGGCGTCGAACTTATCGTTGCATCACCGTAGAACTCACTTTCAATGCCAAAGCTTCGCGTATCATCACCATCACTACCATCAGGCCTGGCATTTCTCAGTGACAGCAAGGAGCGTGTCGCAAGTGCTGTGTTGGAAGGGCCAGATAGATCTACAAACGGTCAGACTCACATAGCTTCATGGCGACAGGGTTTCCTACAAGAAGGTAGATGTGGTGGCCGGGACAGTTGGCCCCCGGCTAATTCATCCGGTTCTGGTTGCGCATTTTTAGGCTTTTGCGGTTTTTGAGTTTGTTCCCGCTCATCTTCATCCTGCTCTTCGTCCTCATCATTGACCCCGGGTGCCGTGAGCACGTTTCTGACGGCACTGCCAATATCTCGAGCTTGGCTTCTTGACAGACCATGGCCAGGCCGTGATGGCATCGGCTCAACCTCTGCGCCGTACGAATACTGTCTCCTAGAGCTTGGAGTTCCCTGAAGCGGGGGTAGGTTGGGTTTTTGAAAAGTGAGCGGGTTTGCATTTGATGGTGTCTCGGGTTCTCTGACGGAGAACCTCGTCGGTCGTCTACGAACTGGACGAGGGGGCATTTGGAGTTAGTTGAGATGCAATGGTGACCTCCGTAGTGGTGAAATTGAGTAGAAGTGAGACTGCTAGAAAAAACGATTCCTGAGAGGTTATTAGAATAGTTTTGAGAATTTTTCAGAGGTATGTCGTGTATAGCGTTGATGAGGTGCAGATCAAGTGAGCTGATGTTGAGGGCTTAGGTGAAGAAGCACAGCTCGCCGACAACTCGGCATAGCAACGCAACTAATTCGGTGCCATCCGAGAGCAATTGTTTCAACAGACGATTCGTTTGATGGTGCTATGAATGGTGGTTGATCCTGTGAAAGGCTGATCCTTGCAGTGGCTGTCTTCAACAAAGGGCATGTTGCTGTGAGGCTCCGTCACAGCTGGACATGGTGTGAACTTTGAAGGAGCAGCAGAGAACACACGAAAAGTGGCAGTTTTGCTGTAGATTTTCCACTGTGTGCAGGGCCAATGTTGTGAGAGACATATACTGGTTATCAAAGGTAAAAAGCAAATAAATCCAATATGTTTGCTGGCGCGGATTTGATGCTGCACGACTGTCACCGTTGTTTTGTTCCGTCAAGGCTGTTGGTCTCAACGCGCCTTCAGACTAGCGGCGTGTCGCGCCCGACGTTTAAGCGGCGCATCAAACACGATGCATGCGATATCACGTGATAATCCCCAGCCCGGGATCCACATGTGGGAACCTAGCAGTCTTGTGGTGTCAACGGTTGAACTGGCAACATTGAGTCCCCCCAAGAACGCAGTAAGCATGGCGCCTTTAATGCGTGCAGTTTTATATACTTAAGTAATTAATCTGTACTTAAAATACTTAAGTACTTAAGTAAGTACCTACTGTACCTAGCTACTCCGTAGTTTACAACCTCTCCACCCGTCAATTCAAAGTCGACCACTTATATTCACATAGCTGTGCATACAATATGCAGGCTGCATCATAAAATACGGACGAGACCCATGAGAATTGTTGTTGACAGCTCCTCAGCATTCGTATCTAGGTGCTCCGTAGCCGTAGTGGAAACTGTGGCTTCACCAGCAGATTCAACTGGAATCCATATTGCAACGGACTGGTAGCTTGAGGTCCAGCCCGTATCGCCCCCACTATCAACGTCTCACATCAATGCCATGAATATGAAGGCATGGTTACCCGTGGCTGATGACACTCAGCACAGCCAATAGTTGATCAGCCGCGAACGGCGATATTACAAAGGGCTTGATAGCACACCAATTGACGCCATTGCAAGCACTTGAGGCGTGGAGAAAAGAGGAGCGTCCCCATAGCATCTGGCTGATGCTGCTTGTTGTTTGCTGGAGCTCAGGTTGCCATTATTAGCGCACCGCCCACGTGTGGCGCCCGCCATTGCTTGCTCTAATCCCTGGGCTAATTTACGAGGCGGCATGGGTTTGTTTGATAGACACTGCCGTCACACGCTGATTTGTCCTACTCCCGCCTTTCTACTTGTTTCTTGAACATCGGCCTGCTGTCAAATGTTTTTTTAAAAAGAACAACACTTCCCAGCTCACCAGCGCCGACTCACCCTGTCGCTCTTCAACAGCTTCACCCGCGCTCCTCGAGTGCTTGTTATCTCCCTCCCATCAAGCCCTCTCTCGATTTGTCGCTCCACTTGTGCTGCATCCCCCACGTTCAATTTTCTGGCGCTGCCCCTCATTGACTTTCTCGTCAAGCACATCACTACCCTCAGCTCCCCGCCAGAATTTCGCCGCCTGTCAAGACATTATTCCTCGCTCAACTCTTCCGACAGTCGATAAATCTGCCAAGATGTCTGCTGGAACTGTTCTCGTCACCGGGTAAGCCCCTACAATCCGAAGACGCCAATATTTGCCTCTGCCGAGTACTCTGAGAAACACATTGCCATCGTCAAGTCGCAATCGCGGGGCGCCGTGTGATTGACCCCCTGATGCCACGGTATCCGCCTCACGTCCAAGACCGGCCAGCTAACCTGAACCTGTTCTACGCACCCTGCAGTGGTACCGGCTACATTGGCTCTTTCACCAGCTTGACGTTGCTCGAGAACGGCTACGATGTCGTCATCGTCGACAACCTTTATAATTCCTCCGAAGTCGCCCTTGACCGCATTGAGAAGCTCTGCGGCCGCCGCCCCGTCTTCTACAAGGTCGACATCACCGATGAGAAGGCCCTCGACCATGTCTTCGCCAAACACCCCTCCATTGATAGCGTGATTCATTTTGCGGCTCTCAAGGTAAACAAAATCTCTTGCGGCGCTGACCGCCACTGAACCACTCTGCGTTTCGTCATGGCGGCAACTGACCACCTCCAGGCTGTCGGCGAGTCTGGCGAGATCCCCCTCGAGTACTACCGCGTCAATGTTGGTGGCAGCATTGCCCTCCTCCGCTCCATGGAGCGAAATAATGTCACCAACATTGTCTTCTCTTCATCGGCTACCGTTTACGGCGACGCTACCCGATTCCCCAACATGATTCCCATCCCCGAGAATTGCCCTACCGGTCCTACCAACACCTACGGACGCACCAAGTCTATGATTGAGGATGTCATCAGGGACTGCGTCAATGCCCAGAGGAACAAGCTGAAGAAGGCCGACCAGCCTTTCGAGCAGTGGAACGGTGCCTTGCTCCGATACTTCAACCCCTGCGGCGCGCACCCGAGTGGTATCATGGGCGAAGACCCCCAGGGGGTCCCGTACAACCTGCTGCCGCTTCTGGGCCAGGTTGCTACAGGCAAGCGCGAGAAGCTTCTCGTCTTTGGCAATGGTACGTCGTGAAGCATGCGATGCAAAGTCCACACTATAACTCTTGTTGTTAATAATTCTTAGACTACAAGTCCCGCGATGGTACCGCCATCCGTGACTACATCCACGTTGTCGACCTTGCCCGCGGCCACCTGGCTGCCCTCAAATATCTCCGCGAGAACAAGCCCGGTGTCAAGGAGTGGAACTTGGGCTCTGGCAGAGGCAGCACTGTTTTTGAGATGATCAAGGCATTCAGCGCCGTGGTGTTTGGGCCAGAGAACCCTGAACAGCTGAAATACGAGATAGTCGCCCGCCGACAGGGTGATGTCCTCGACCTCACAGCCAATCCAGCCCTTGCCAACAAGGAGCTCAATTGGAAGACGGAGCTTGGCATGGAGAAGGCATGTGAGGATCTATGGAGATGGGTCAAAAACAACCCTGAGGGGTACCGTCAGGAGCCCCCGGCTGAGCTCCTGGCTGCTATCAAGACACCATCTTCTTAAATTTTTTGTGTTTTTTTTTTTTTTTTTTGGATACATGAGGGAATGGATGGGACTATACAAGACGGATGCTATGATGATGGATGACACCAGTTTAGACTGCATTTGAGCAGGAGATGATGGTAGAATTTTTTTTAAAAAAAAAATAAAACTCAAATTCAATTAGTACACGGTTCTTTTTTGCTATTGTGCTATTTTTTTGTCTTGCCTACTCGTTGCTTTACTCGACACTAAGAAGAAGCTTGCCCTTGGTCTTGCGGCTCTCAAGATCAGAGTGAGCCCGCCCAACTTCCTTCAGGGGATAAATGTCATGGATGGCAATCTTGACCTGGCCGGAGATGATCTTGTCAAATAGCTCGGCAGAGTACTTTTCCAGATCCTTCCTCTCGGAAACATAGCCGTGAACCTTTGGTCGCAGAAGCGTGACATTTTTGTCTGAGAGGCGAAGGATGCTGAAATCAGGAACCGGACCAGACTGCCAGAGTCACACAACACGTTAGCCATGAATCCGATTGGCAGAAGGGGGGAAGATGCACAACATAGTATCATGCTGTGGCCTTTTTTTTTTTTTGGCAGGAAAAAGTCGGCACTTACAGCATTGCCAAAAGACACCAGATGCCCCTTCAAAGCAATCATTTGCAAGTCAGCGTCAAACGTGGCCTTGCCCACGCCGTCAAAGATGGCATCCACGCCGTGCCCGCCCGTAATCTCATTCACCCTCGCCACCACGTCGTCCCTAGAGCTCACCGTCCACTCGGCGCCGAGCTTCTTGGCCAGGTCGCACTTTTCCTGCGTGCTGGCCGTGCCAATCACCTTTGCCCCGAGGCTCCTGAGCATCTGGACGAGCAGCTGGCCGACACCGCCGGCGGCGGCGTGCACAAGCGCCCACTGGCCGGGCTGGACGTTGCCGGCCTCGCGGATGAAGGTCCACGCCGTGAGGCCCTGCAGGAAGGCGGCGGCGGCCTGCTCCGTCGTCAGGCCGGCCGGGATGGCGATGAGCTTGGACGCCGGGACGGCCGTGTACTGCGCGTAGGCCTGCGAGTCCATGTACACGACTCTGGTGCCGACTGGGAAGGATGTGACGTCCTTGTGGTGCGAGACGACTTGGCCGGCGGCCTCGCTGCCGAGGATGACGGGGAGGTTGAGCTTGTACAGGCCGCTGCGGAAGTAGGTGTCGATGAAGTTGACGCCTGCGAACTCGTTCTTGACGAGGACCTGGCCCTCCTTGGGGGTGGGGACCGGCACGTCTTTGTAGTCGAGGACGTCGATGCCGCCGGTTTTGGAGACCTGGATGGCCTTCATTGTGGCTGGGACGGGGGCCATGCTGGGCGGTTTTGGGTTGGGCTGGGTCTGGGAGTATGAGCAGGTTGTTGGAGCGGAAGGGTGAGGTGGGAAGGAGGAGAGTTGCCGGCGATGGCGGGTATCAATATAAGTCGAGGATGACGACACTGGTGAGGTGAGGGCGGGGTTGGTTGATGGTGGTGGTGCTGGATGTTGATGGCAGACGGGGGACGCGAGGCGCAACCAATTGCTTGCGATGATGGGACAGGCGCGGACGAGTCGAGGTCTATTTAAGATGAGGAGAGGCATGGAATTATGTTGTTTATGTAAACCATGTGTCAGGATACTAGGAGAGAACGGGATTTCACCCAGGGAGGGGCCTTGCAGAAGCCCGAGTTAGTTTCACCGAACCGTAAGCCATTGGTAAGCATTTGTTCAGGGAGGGGCAGAGCTCGATTTCCGAATTGATGGCTGTCTTTGGATGTGTGTAGGAGGGAGGGTATGGAGCAGGCCAATGCGGTTCATGATGTGCAACGCTGGCTAGATCTCAGAGTTTTGCCTTGCATGTTTCGGCTACGGATTGGGGCCGACACCGCGAGAGCCGATCGGAAGCTGAGGCCAGAAGTGGTTCAAATCCCACGACTGGCCGACGACTTTACTGGTCGTTTGATTTTTGGGAAAACGCTGAGGAGGCACATGAGTTTGGTCTGGAGCCTTGTCGGCGGCGGTGGCTCAGAGTCTAATCAATGGCGGATGAAAGTCCTGCTCGACGCCTTCATGCTTTCCACCCCTCATCGCACCAAGTCTCACAACGCTAGGAAATTGCAAGACCAACTCACAGCGCATGGCCATATATCTCATCATGATGTCGATTCTCACAGATGCCTACACGAAAAACTCACAAACCGCCTTGACCACATCGTCAGGCGCCTCCTCTGGGATATAATGCCCGCTATCAACACTATACCCATCCAGCACAACTCCCTCGCCCACAACCTTCCTCCACTCTGCCATCGCATCGAAACACTTCTCTATAACGCCCTTCTTCCCCCAAATTATCCTCACAGGAGCCTTGATCAATCGTCCCTTCTCTAGATCCGCCCTCTGTTCATCTAGGTCCACTGTTGCGGCAGCCCTGTAGTCGTTGCACATGGCATGCACCGTATCCTCATCCTCAAACAGCTTCACATACTCCTCGTAGCACGCCTTGTCGAAAATATCTAATCCCTTCCCATCCTTGCCGCCCATGCACAGCTCTGCAAACTTGCGCGGCGTGGCGGATATCAGCGTCTCTGGTAGCGGCGCAGGCTGGATCAAGAAGAACCAGTGGAAATACGCAGTCGCAAATTCTTGACTGGTAGCTTGGTACATGGATAGCGTGGGGCAAATGTCGAGGAGTATGGCTTTGCGTACGTGGTTGGGATAGTCGACGAGGAGCTTGTGGGCGACCCGGGCGCCGCGGTCGTGTGCGCAGACGAAGAAGGTCTTGTGGCCGAGGTGGTTCATGAGGGCCATCATGTCCTTTGCCATGGCGGATTTGGCGTAGGCCGCTACCGAGGGCAGTTTGGATGATTCGCCATAGCCGCGGAGGTCAGGGATGATGAGGTTGTACGTGGTGGTGAGGTGTGGGACGATGCGATGCCATATGTGACGGGTTTGCGGGAAGCCGTGGAGGAGCAGGAGTGGGGGAAGTGGTGATTCTGGTGAGGTTTGAAGACCTTTGATGGTGACGAGGGGGTCGGTTTGCGTAGTGATGGAGAAGGAGATGAGGCCGTCAAACATGGTGATGACGCTATACGGGACGCGTACACTCTGCAGGGGGGGTCTATTCAAAATGATGTCTTATGTGATTTCCCTCCAATCAATCAAAACTAGCAATGATGAACTAGATTTCTTGATGCGCTTGGGACGTAGGTGATAGGCCGTGTTGGTGTTGAGTATCTTGATGTGAAGACGGGTACGGTGATGGAACATGTTAATGTAGGTATGAGGATCACCATCTATCAGGTATTGGCGTGGTTATATGATGCTGAGCTAACAAAAGGCTGTTCTGCTTCGCCAGATAGCCCCAGAATACCAGATCTTCCCTCCTTTATTTTTATTTTTACATTGCCATAGATTAAAGATCCATTAACTCAAACCTAGCAACGGGCCGCAGGTAACGGTTTAATTGATTGATTGAATTGTTTAACGTCTGCTGCAAGCAACGAATTGCAAAGTTCAATGTTGGACGGTCTACAGGGTAGCAAACGATAGAGAATGGGCGGCTATAAATACTAAACATACCGTTCAATGTTGGACAAAGTGTATGTAGCCCCGGCAGCTGTATTGGGACATATTTGTCATCACCCGAGATAGATAATGTGCATCAGTCGACGGGATGCTGTTTTCAATCGAGGGCATCAAGGCTTCTGGGGCACTTTGTTCCATGATAACCCGTGTTCTTGGTTGGCATCAATTTGTCGTGCCATGATCGGTAACGGCTCAAATGGAATGTCTGGTGGGCCGGATAACATAAATCTGCGCCAAGGTTCTAGTATTCGATCTGGAAACGATTCTGCGAACCAGCCTTGTCGGGCCACGCAAACACATCCGCAATCACCATGACCAGAGGCGAGGTGGATGGCGCCGATGGGGCGGGACTCTGGGGCTGTGCAGCAGAGGCCGCGACAACACCTCACTCACATCACCAATGAACGACGTCGTTGTAAATGCTTTGGCATCAGAGAGCACCGACGGATGTTTCGATGATTCAATGCGCAAGTGCAAGGGCAGGGTTTATTTGGTCGGAGGGATACAGAGCCCGAGATAGTTGGTGTCGTCGCGGCAGTTGTGCCTGATGAGGCTTCTGGCCAAAGGTCAGCGAGGCACATCATCAAGACCACCACCGAGTCTGAGCGGAAAATACCAACAAGAAGCCAACTTCATCCGGGGGCGCCATGCATATCCAAAATTAGTAGCTACTACGCTGTACCTTGTGCTCTCCGCCCCCTTGGCATGAGGCCTGAAGACCCGACGGCACGCGAAGGTGGGACTGCAGACCCGGATGACGGCTGGGGCCATGAATGTTGCAAGCCACGGCATCCAGCGGGGCCCCGAGTCCGATTCCGGGCTCTCAAAATGAGCCATGAAGAATGGCGACTTGGTGGGTAGATGGGCAAGGGAATGTGAGGAGTGGATCGTTTGCGAAGAGAAACAAGGCCAAGCCGAAATCGTGACAGGGGGTGCCAGCGATGGCTGTGTGTTGCAGGGCTGCCACACAGGTTGGTGACGTTGGACAGCTGATGGGCCAAGAACAAAAGAAAAGCCAAAGGAGCCTGTCGCAGCAAGACGTGAAAAATGGACAGATATCTTTGGCACCCGGCCCTCGTCGTACAATGCAATTTTTGCAACAAGCCAAACAGTCAAAAGACTCTTCATCGCTTGGTGCCTTTGGCTTGCACGTGTCGTCGCTCTTTGTCTCAGACTCTGCCAAGACCTCGCTCCTTCCCTGTCTGATAACCCAGGCACAATCGAATCTGACAGCTCCGAGCTTCGTCAACGTCAGTTCATAGTCATCAACCATAATCGTCTCGGCCGCATCATCCGCCAGTACATCATACATCCAATGCGGCCCTTACGCGTACAATGCCGTTTCTAACGCCAACCGATCGCCAGCGGCGCATTATCCAGCTCTCGCAAGAATGGGGAGTCGACCTACCTCCAGCTACGGTACCTCTCACGAGACCCCACAACCCGCCTTCATTTTGGACGCCAAAAGATGACCAAGTAGCCGAGGATCTCATGCAACGGCGAGCCTCCGAGCTCTCGCAGTCTCGGCGTCAAAGTAGCTTAAGTAAAGCGTTTTCGTCAAACAATCTGAAAAAGGGCAAGACCTGGGATCCTCGCGAGGTGCTCGAGGTGCTCAGTTCATGGATAGCCAATTCAGGGTCGCCGGGTGTGGCGGAGGCGCTGATATTGAAACTGTCTGCGGCGGGCGTTGACTTCAGCGGTAATCAAACAAAGCAAAAGAGCGGTATCCTGAGCCGAAGAAAGAGTGTCGACACCTTTGTTGATCGCTCAAAATTCCTGAAGCTTGCTGTCCAAGGCAACCAGTATGAGATGCTGCAGGTCTTACTCCCGCACGCTGACGGATTCTCCATAGATCAGGCACTGGCTCCGGCTATACGCACTGGAAATACACGGGTTGCCGAGTTGCTGTTGAGGTATGGAGCTTGTGCCTCCCAAACCCCCGAGGGCCAGGACGCCTTTCGCCAAGCTTGTGTTGTCCAGAGCCAGGCGCACATGGTTGGATTGCTATTGCGTTCAGAAAGCCGGCCAAACGCGGCGTGGACATCAGCGTGTATGTGTGATGCAGCAAGGTCAGCTTGTCTAGAAACCGTGCTGTGTCTTAGCAGGTCGACAGCGGATGGCAACCACAATCACGCCGAAGCCTTGAAATTGGCCATTGCACTGGGACGACAAGATATCGCGTTGGCGATAATCATGGGAAACCACCCGCCACATGGGCCCGGGCTAGACGAGGCATTCCAAAATCTTTACGAGCACCCATCACTCGACCCAGCGACAAAACTTGCCATGGCGGAATTGCTTCTGTGCGCAGGAGCGCAGGGCAATGCGTTGTCACAGGCGCTGGAAAGTGCATGCGAAACACAGTTTTACGACATGGCAAGTCTCTTGGCGAGATACGGCGCATCAATAGAATACAACGATGCCGCCATGCTAAAGAGAGCGATCGCTCGTGGTGAGCTGGAATTGCTGAGCTCCCTGCTGACCGATTCAGCTAAGTTGAGCCCTGCTTTGGCGTCCAGTTGTGTGCCTCTGATTGCGAAGCAAGCGCCGTTTGAAACTCGAGTCATGGTTCTTAGTCTGCTTTTGCGGAAAGGCGCAAAAGGGGTTGCGTTGGACGATATGCTCATAGACGCGGCTGAAGCAGGCGACATAGAGTCCGTTGACTTGTTACTAAACCCCGTCTATCCAGAGCCCACCCCTATTACCCTCAAGGATTCGAACCACACTCGGCTTTCAAACGGGATACCACTCCATGAGGTGGCCTCTGTTGACCATAGATCTGGTGAAGCTCTGCGAACTGCAGTGTTGCGAGCCGACGCGGCCATGACAGATAAAATTCTTTCTGCCCAGCCTACAGCTGAAACCTTGTCGATCGTATTTCCTATGACGAAGAAGCTGTCGCCCAAAGACCGCTATCGAATGGCCCAGGTGTTCTTGAAGAGATCACTGTCCGGCCCTTGTCTCCACGCAGCGTTGCATGATGCAATCAATGAAGATGCCTCACAAAGAGACAATGCCCTGATTAAGCTCCTGTTGGAGCATGACGCTGACATCAATTTTAGCCACGGCCCGGGACTGGCGGCTGTTATCAAGCAAAAGGATATCAAATTGCTTGGGTCGCTTTTGCATAAAGCATCGCCGCAAACTGCTGCTGCCCGCGTAATGGATGCCATGGAAGTTTCAGACCATAGGGAGCGTTTCGAGATGATGTCTATGCTGATTAACGCTGGTGCTGTAATTGGGGCTCAGGAAATTGCAACTGCACTATCACAAACCCTTTCCGAAAAGCCCGTCGATATGTCGCTGTTGCGACTGTTGCTGCAACAAGGAGGCGCCGACATTAACCTGCTTGAGGGTGCGATAGCAAAGAAGGCGGTTTCGAACCCAGATCCAAAGGTCCTGGATATGGTCTTTGCAAACAGCCGACCATCCTCAACAACGGTGACCTGCGCATTCAATGAATTTGCCCCGCTGCCATCCACAGAAAGTAAAGCTTGGAAGCTGCGCGCCCTCTTATCCAAGTCCAAGCACAAGGAAGATCTGAACTGGGTGTTGGTGCACGAGGTCCAGTCACTATCAAAGACGAATACTAGCAAAGCGTCGTTGTCGACATTGAAGATTCTGCTCGACAGCGGTGCAGATCCAAATGCCTACAAAGCCGCCGCCCTTTGCCATGCCGTCATTGGCGCAAATGTCAAAATTACCGATATGTTACTAGAATCAAAAACACCTCTTTCCGCCGCTGCACTGGGGACAGCGCTTCCGCATGTACTTCGAATTACTGATCCTATGGAGAGACTGACTCTCACTAAGAAACTCGTCGATGCTGGTGCTCATCCTCTCGAAATCAACAGAGCCTTGGTGCACGCCATCACGGCGTACCCTGAGGACGTATCGCTACAGAATGCCTTGGCAGCGGCTGCTGATACATCAGACGGCGAGGCACTGTCACTGTCAATATCAAAGGAATCACCTGAAACTATGGACCTGCTGCTGTCGAAATCACAATCTTCTCTAGAAACTCGAAGCACCATGCTCGTCAAGGCTATGGAGGTCAAGAACCGAACGGCCAGACACCACATGTGTAAGAATCTGTTAAGACTTGGCGTGTCAACAGAAACTGCATCCAGTGCTCTGCTAGTAGCAGCCAGAGACGGTGATGTGAATCTTGGAGACTTACTCATGGCACACGGCGCGAGCATCGCAACGAACAATGGCCAAGCCATCATTGAGGCCTGCCGTGGAGGTTCTGCAGAAGTCTTGAGCGTGCTCTTGAAGCAGGATGGGCAGATGAACAAAAGTATCATGGAGGCCGCCTTCCAGGCTGCCACCGAGGTTCGAGATCTGAGCAAGCGCGCTGTCGTCTTTGAGCAGTTGTTAAAAAAAGGTGTGGCCGGTGACTTGGTGGATGCCCAACTACAATCTGCAGCTCGATATGGTGAAGATGGCGAAGCGGTATTGCGAGTTCTACTCGCCGCTGGCGCGGACCCCAACTTCAACAATGGCGAATGCGTTGTTGCGGCCACAAGGAGCGCCTTCATTGGCAGCCTAGAATTGCTACTAGGACTCTGGGGTGAAGGAGGCCACCAGGTGTGTAGGCATATCGACAAATTATGATGCTGCCCTTTGCTAACCATTTCACAGAAGAAAGTGTCTCAGCCCACGCTGTCGAGATCGCTAAAGGCGTGCTGGAACCTGAGCCGTGATAGCCGATTCCAAGTTGTCAATGATCTCATCAAAGCGGGCTTGCGGCCCACAGACGATATGCACATTGCATTGAATGAAGCCATTAATGAAGATGATCCCGAAGAACGACTGGTCAGGCTCTTGCTGAATCACGGCGCATCACCAGCAGCCAATGGCTGCAAGACCCTCGTAGATGCAGTGAACAACTCTGCGTCGTCGTCACTGGCACTTCTGCTGGAAAAGAACCTGCCACAGGAAGACATAAGCCGTGCTTTCAATCAAGCATTCACTACTGAGACGTTTGCCAAGTGGTTCACCAACCGCGGCTATGAGACAGCCAATCTTCTGTTGGACAAGGGAGCTCATGGTGCATCTCTTAGTGGTGCATTAGTTCTTGCAATGAGGAACTCTACAGTTGAAACTGAGATGCTGGCTGACAAATTTGTCACGTTGCTGATCAAACATGGCGCGGACGTGAATTACAACAATGGGGAACCACTTCAGCAAGCGGCCTCCAAAGCAAATGTTTCGTGGACAAGGCAGCTTCTGGAGTGTCGACCGACTATTCCGACATTGTCTCTGGCATTTCAATGTATCTTCGACACGGCGCTATCCCAAGATGAGGTGCTTGATTTGTTTAAAATGTTTGCAGAATACAGGGACGGGGATGTCAGGATTGATGTTTTAAGCAGCCAACAGGGACTAGACCCCGTCCTTGTACGAGCCATTTCGCAATATCCGAGATCAACGACTATTCTAGAGACTTTACTTGATGCCGGCCTCTATCATGATCAAGCCACTACATACAAGATCCACGCCGATGTTGACGAGGAAGAAGCCATGACACTTTTGATATGGGCAATTTCCCAGCCCCAGAAGCGAGTTAGCACCTCTGTGATTGAGCTATTACTTGCTCGTGGCGGTAAGGATCCTTCACAGCGATCAAAACAAAAAAAAAAAACTTGTAACTGACTATTAGCATATACAGCCAAAGTGAATGCGGAGACGAGCTTATCTCGTACTACACCACTCATGCTTGCTATCCAGACCCGACGACCTGATCTCGTCAAGATGCTTCTACTTGAAGGTGCGGAAGTCGACGTTTTAGACTACTTGGGAAGAACACCATTATCTATGGCTACAGATATTGGAGGCGACATCTCGGCACAGATCATGTCACTCCTCCTCGCCGCTGACCCCTCTAGGGACGACGGCTCTCTCCACAACGCCGCTCGTGACCTCAACCTGCCTGTTGTCAAAGTCCTGGTCCAGTCTGGTCATGATCCCGACTTTCCCAGTCCTTTACACGAGGGACGCAGCGCTCTCGCTGAGGTATGTCTACATGGATCAAGTAAAGGCGAAATGAGCTCAGATCGCGAACGCACTATGCAAAAAGTCATGACGTTCCTCATCGACAATAAATCTGATCTGTCGATGAAAGCAAATGACAAGACTCTCTTGCAGTTGTGTTTTGCAGCTTCTGACCCTGTTGCTACGACACGATGCTTCCTCAAATCGGGCATGTGGAAGCTCATTAACAAACCATTCAACTTTTACACTTCCGAAGGATACACGTACTCCCCCACCATGTATATCAAGAAAATCCTCCCGCAAACAGACGCATCCGATGCCCTTCTCAAGATACTCAAGGCCAATCGCGCCAGCGATGTGTACTACGCCGTATCCGGGGCACAACCTCCTGACGCGATCGGTCTCCCCGAAGACATGGCCGTTCAAGAACGCGCTCGTAAAGCCCGTCTGGAGCGCCTCGCAGAAGAAACAGAAGATTTTTCCATAGTCATGGCTCGCAAGCGGGAAATTGCATCCGTTGAGCAGCAAATTCTGGCCCAAAAGGCCGAAATGGAAGATATGCGCCGTCGCAAGCTACACAATGAAGACATCGCCGCCGTACGGTCCAAGGCCCAAGTTGAAGAATCACTCGCCAGTGCCGCTCATACTCGCAGACTACAAGAGCATCACTCACTTGCGGAATCATCCATATCACGTAGCAGAGCACTCGCAGCTTCCGAGCTGGAGACCGAAGAGGCAAGACAGAGGAAGGCGCTGGAGTGGGAGACAAGGCTGAATACGGAAAGAGTTGATAATGCGCGGGCATTGAGCTCGATTAGGATTAGTGAGAGACAGGAGGTCGAGAGGATTGATAAGGGCGCAGAGTCGAGGATAAAGGGGCGACTAGAAGCGCAGAGGAAGCTGGTGGAGAGTCAGGAGAAGTTGGCAAAGAGGTTGGCTGATGGGCCAAGCGCCGGCATCAATGATCCGAGAAGACAAATTGGCTATGTGACGGAGTTGAGTTAACTGCATCATGGTTGGGATATGGAGTTTGGGATTTGGGAAGATTGGGTACTATGAGAAATGGCTTGTGTAACTATACCAACATTGGCGTCAGTCTAAAGATATTGCAACGTCTTTTATCATGTGTAGCTAATACGTTGTATAGCGAGTGTTGTATCGTATCAAATAGAGGCGCGCTTGCTAACCGCTTCTTTACCCAGGCCGTTCCTCAAATCGGCCGAGAGCCACTGATTCCTTCCTGCGAGTATTATTTTAGAATGACCCATGTCCCAGCAAGTGATAGCTATTAGATTGTCGTCTCTGAGACGCTACCTGATGTTAGCAAGTTTTCCCCCGAAAATTCCAAGTCATGCCGTCCACAACATCAAGAAACGCAACACCAATAATGCTTCCCTTTTTCCCTTTCCAAACCTTCCCAATGATTGGGTTTTAATGGCTCTTGGACCCAAAGTTTGACCTGGTATGACTAGTCCGTGCCTGCTCCGCACTCGGTCCATGGCAAAAGAATCCCAGGGGCCTTGGCTGCACCGCTCACATACCAAATCCAATTCAACCCCGAGTTCTTTCAAAGAGTTCGAGGCGTTCTTGGTAGTCTAGTTCTTGAGGTACGTGGCCGTCGTCCTGCAGGGCATGGTCAACCTCCTCGCTCTTGGATTTCTGCAGCTCTGCTACCCGTGCATCCGTCGCTGCTGATGTGAATATTCGCACAACATAACATTTCTTTGTCTGTCCGATACGGCTAGTACGTCCTGCTGCTTGGAGCTCGGACGTCACATTCCACCACGGGTCGATAATAATGATTCGATTAGCGCAGGTAATGTTCAGTGATTGCCCGCCCGCCATTAGGCCTGAGAGCTAAGTCGAAGATGAGCATGACGAGCAGTCTAGAATATGGGAAGCTGGTGACTTACAAAGACGTTTGTAGTTGGAGATTTCTTGAACATCTCTAAAGCTTTCTTCTTCTTTTTGTCGCCCATGCTTCCGAAATAATATACAAATCCAATACGGGCATGCTTGAGCATACTCCCCAGCACTTTGGCGGTAGTCACATTCAGAGTAAACACTGTTTTTGACGTTATTAGCGAAAGAGTCTTAAAAATTCATGTCTCTGGGTAGTGTTACCGATGATCTTGTCGTCCGGATAGTCGGCTCGCCAGCTTAACAACACGGTCATTGCAGTCGTCAATCGGGAGTTTGGTACCATCGAAAGACCTGGAGTGGTATAGCTGGAGATGAAGAAACCAATTTGGTCCTTCTTTCGTGCCAGGGTGACCTTATTATCGTCTGTATCAGGATAGTTTCCAAGTTTTAGCGCCTCGTCCACCTCGGCTGACATTGTCTTCAGCTTTTTAGCAGATTCGAAAGGCATATTACATCCATCTGCAACGCAAGTCTGTTTGAAATTAGATAAAAGGCACAAGTACTGAAAATAACGCGCAACTTACTAATGGAACCTCGTTTGGCGTTTTGCAGAGCCTCGTGGATTGTATTATTTGGTCATAACAATGGCCACAGTAAATATGATCGCACTAAGATATTAGAATAGCTTCCTATACGACTGAATTGAGTTGAAAGTACCTTTGGTATTATCATTGGCATTTCCAGGTCAGATGACTGGCACTTGATGCATTCCATATCCTTGAGCTTCAGTTCGTCCTGAACGGCTGCAAGGTGTTCGTCGAACTTAAAGATGCCCCCGAATGCGGTATTAGTATAAGTTCTCATTTGAGTAAGCCCCGATTTATATCTTTCCAAGCTTGATTTTGCCTCATTTTGAGAAAGAATTTGTTGAAGAACTGTTTGAGTGCCCGTAACTTGCCGTATACTATCGCGAAGTTCCTGGATTTGGGCGGCCTCTTCAAAATTGCGCAAAAGTCTCTCGATGTTATACGGATGTGAAATTAGACGTCTCAAGGACATATGCCTCTTTCTTTGTTGTTGTTGTACCACTTCTTTCTCGGATTCAATTTTATCTTGTTCATCATCGGATTCAGTCATGTCGCTTGAAGACAGCTTTTTCATAAATCTAGTAGAGTTAGCTAATTTGTAATCAAATATTGAGAAATAAATAAGCGATACATGTAGATGGCTTCTTCTTCAACTGTCAGGGGAACCCAAATGTCGTGCGTCTCACTGCGAGGAATAGGGACAATCTGGTGACCAAGAAACGTGTCACGTTGGGTTCTGCGACGCTATTAGTTATAAAAGCAAATATATATAATCTCGACTCTCACCTTCGATACATGAAGCTAGAAATGAGAGCCTCAAGCTTCTTATTTGCTTTGTTCTGCGGGTGGGTGAACCATGTTAGTGTTCCCGAGCTAGACCATTAAGCCTTCGATGTTTCCTGCTTACCTTGTCCATATACTCTTTGGCAAAGCACTTTTTACGCTCTTCTACCTCAAATCCTATAAATCGCAGATAAGGTATAAACTCTGGTGCATCCGTTTAGCTTTTGTAACTTCTAACAAGATCAGACTGAATTTCTTTTACCAGTAGCAGAGTTTGAGAGGGGTGTTCCAGTTAGGGCCCAACGGTGTTTCGCCTTTAAAGTGCACATAGACTGCTTGGCTACACACACGTTAACGTTAATTTGTTGATGAATAATTAAAAGGACCAGACAGCTTACTAAGACTCTTCAAGTTCTTGATGCTATGCGCCTCGTCTAAAATGATCCTGTACCAATTGAAACCAAGTACTTCGTCTTCGTGTTTCTTGCCACTTTGAAGCCTTCGATAGTACGCTAGGACTTCGTTCGTGGTTGTAATACTGCGTATCATTTAGCGAAGGTAAAGGAAAGATAAGTCCAGTACTGGACGGATGACTTACACTATCATTAGATTTTGGTATGATACGGCTGGTGCCTGATTTTTTGACTGATGTATCATGACAGTCTTTCCGAAGTCATCGCTGCAATGCTTCTTAACCTCCTCCCGCCATTGGTTCGCAATGCTAACGTTTGGTACAATGACCAATGTGCCCTTGGTATAAGTTTTCAAGTCTTCAGCTTCCGGCGGATTCCCTACGACGCAAGCCAGGCTTGTAATGGTTTTGCCAATCCCCATTTCATCAGCAATCATTCCACCAAATGGCTGCGCTCTATCGCACACTCTCTTCAGCATCCAAGCTGCTGCAGTTAGTTGATATCCGTAAAGAGGAGTTTCCATCCCCTGCAGCAGCCAATTTCCAGACGTTGCCTTCACTTTCTTGTATCCGAACAGCTTCGCCGCTTCCCTGAGATCCCGATGCTGGGTCTTGGTTCGACGAGTGTCTGCTCCCTTCGGAATACTATCTCTTAATAACACAAACTGCTTCTGGTGCGTATGCGCATTAATCTCGGGCATTGCCGGAGCTGGCGGCCCACCGTCACTAAATCCACCAAACATTAGATGAGTGAGACTGGCAAACAAATCCGATCCGGAACTAGCGTTTATTGTTTTCGGTCTCTTAGATGCTTCCTTGTTTATAGCTTCTGCCTTTCGTTTATTCTGGCTCTACTTTTGTTTCTTTCGAACCGCGTCATCTTACTTCCGATGGAGCCTGGTAATAAACTCACGAGCAGTTTTTGCTGGCGCGGCTCGATTTCGTGAGGGCTTCTTGGCCGGAGTTTTGGCAACTCTGGGTTTTATTTCGCTCTCATCTTCTGAACATTTAAAATCACTATCATGTTCACCCTCCGTCCCACTATCACTAGACTCTTCGCTGTTAAGGCTATTATCTTCTTTGTTCCCTGTACCGGCCGTACCAGGCTCCGTACCGGGCTCTGTCTTGACCTGTACCTTATTCATGTCTCGCGCTTTATTTCTGTATTGACTGTTGTTCTTGGCCGACCTCGTTGTAGCTTCATTCAACGTTTGAGCATCGTGAAGATCATGTTTCGAAATAGGTGTTTCTATCGTCTTATCAGCCTTGGCCATGACGATGAGTTTAGTATAGCTTTATAGAAAGCAATAAAGACGAACGTTGATGGGTAAGTTTGTTTTATGGAAGGTATGAATAGTGCCTTTGTTTCTGAAATTTAACAACTTCTATATTAGGAGGCTTCGCAAGACGGCCAATTTGTTGCAAAGCAAAATATATCCCTTGACCTCATGGGCGCAATTGGGGTTGGTGTCATGCGGAAGTGTGCGATGATTAAGGTTGAGATGTAGCAGGTGGAATTGAACAGAAGAATTTAAATACCACGGTAGATACGCCAGCTGGCAGAATAACTGGCAGCTGTCAAATCTATCATCCTGAGTGCCTGAGTAGTTAATGACAACATGGTTTGAGGTATGATCTGTGAATGTTTCTCGCAGTGCCGACTTCTATCGAAATTTAAAACAAGCCTAAATCTAGCGACGTTTCTTCTTCACTGGATTCTGGTTTGTATTTGCCAAATAATACGTGGCACGTCTGAGCCCACGATGTTTGCATCCTCAAGGGAAACGAGCACCCTGTAGGGTACTTAAGGCACCTCTGCCTCGGCCTTTGCCGTGACCACCAACGACAAACTGCCAGGCGGCAATCGTCCGCAATCGTCCATCATGCAAGGGCGACTCTCGCATGCAGCCACACATCCGGTCTCTGGCAAAATAATTGAATCCATGGCAAAATAGCCGCCGTCATAAGCCATGACTTGGAGGCCCTGGCGCAATGCTAACGGATGGACCTCTTCCACTCCAGAGTTGCCGGCCGAAAGAAAATCATGGAGCCCCGGCAAACACGCCCTTGTTTCATGACGGCACTCCGGCACACAAGATCTGCGACCTAGGAAGATTATAAGATGAGAAAAGCGCCCCTTCGACTAAAAATAAATTGCCTCATCCGGCAGATATCTTTTGGTGGCGGCAAGCCCCTCGCCCGTCATCGCTTGATGGGAGGCAGGCCCGCCACGTTGCCACGCCATCAAATGCTTCGGAGCTCTCATTTCTTGGTTGGTGGCGGGTGCTGATGCATGGATTTGGGCTCATACAACCAGGGCTGCATGAAGGGCTGCATGAAGGACCGAGAGGACGACCGAACTAGTAGTACTCGAGAAATGAGCATGCTCGACACGCAAGAGGTGGGAAATACCAACTGGCCTAATTATGCCGGTATCAGCAACTTTTCTCAAGTCGGAAGCGCCGAGGCAGGGTAATGCATCGACAATGACAAGACAAGGGATCAATCTGGTCGATCAGGTGCGACATCTCACCTTCCCTGCTTCCAACTCGCAGCTAACTGCCCAATCATGTTGCCAAGACGTGGCGCTTCCATGCACATTTCGGCGCTACGCATCATCATGGTGCACCTTGCTCTCCTCACTCTTGATGGAGGCCATGTCGGGCGGGTTAAAAAAGGGCAATGGCACGTCGTCTCGTAAGACCTCGTCAAGGCCGGGCGCAGATTGACCCAACCGATTTTGATCAAGAAGCCTGCATTAGTGTAGGGAGACGATCATAAGGCGGGCCAATATGAGATCTGACCGCTTGCCCTGGACCTGAAGCCTAAACGCCTCGACCACCAGCTGTCGATGCCCTCAGTTCTTCGTACTCCGGCCTAGTGGTTTGATTGCTGCACTCCGCTCTGTTGGCCGTGAGGCGCGTTTGTGACTCGTGGCTCGTGCTCGTTCTCGTGCTCGTTCTCGTGCTCCTTAAATATAAACGAATCGAGTCCGCCCCTAAAAGGGTTTTAACCGCCTCAAAAAAAAAAAAAGGGCAGTGTCGAGTAAGGGAGGAAAGAAGGAAGGAAGGCATCAAAAAGGGAAGGAATGACACGTGGACTGTTCCGTATGTCCTCGATGACTGGTATCGTCAGTTGGTACCTACAAACCACGCGTCTCGCACCGCCATGACAAATTTACATGTTGGTTTTGCAGAAAACGATCGTCTAGAACGCACCTAACAAGACAGGCACGAGCTGTGTCTGCCGCCATGGTGTCAGGGCGAGATGTCAAGCACCCAGTACGCCACGAAGGCATAGCTGCCAATGCTGGTTCCACGATTCCCAGCATGGAGGACACTTTTCCCGGGAACCTGACACATGAACATCTACTCGAACTTCACGTGGCTGCCATGGTTGTCGGTTTCACCAGTCTTTTGGCGACGCTTGTTGCAGTGGCATTCTTTATACAGATGCGCCGTAGATTTCGTCACGAGTAAGTGGGAAACTAAATCTTGATACTCATTTTCGTTGGATGCTCGAAACTAAGGTATTCTGACAGCCTCATCCTTTTGTTAATACTAAGCGACATGCTGGCAACATTCTGGCTTGTACTTCTTCCCGCTATCGAGCTCGCGCGTGGCCGAATACCTTCCAACTCAACCCTTTGTCAAATCAGTGGATTCTTCCTGTCCGTCGGAATCGAAGCATGCGACTTGACGGTGCTCCTCATCGCTGTCCACACAGCTTTGTACATATTCAGAGGACGAAGCGGACTATATCCGTATCGGTTTCTCGCTTATGCCCTAGTTGCAACAGGGTCCTTGATGCTTACATCTCTAGCATTCATCAACAATCCGGGATTCGTCAATTCTGGTGCGTATTGCTATTTTCCCGCCAGGCCAACCTGGACGCTGAGGTTCCTGAGCTGGGTACCACGCTATGTGGTTTGCGCGGTGATGATATTTATATACACCTGTATTTACATTTATATGAGGTGCATCATGATCAAAGTCGATGAACCAAACAAACGGAGGAAAGTTGATGAACCGTTCTTCAGCCGACTACAGCAACTACCAAGACGAGGCTCGGTACCCCCTACGCCCCCAATAGCGTACCACGGACTCATCCCTCCAACACCACCAATCGACAACACGCAACCGGATTATGGTTGGAACAGAGGAGCAAGATACAGCCAACACGGAGGATCGAGAAAAGGTTCCCTCGTTGGAAACGGGGGTGGACAGCCACTTCTGAAGCCACCTGTGTCGGCAACCTCACAAACTGACTGCGAGGAACGGAGTCTTATTGTAGCCAAAGATCCATTCAAAGACTATCCCCCAAGTGTCCACTGTCGAAATGGCTCGAAGGATGAAGCCACGACGCTCTCGCCAACAGACCGCCCTGCCCCGACACAGCACATTATTGGCTGTTCGTGCATGGTTTGCACAGGGGCTGGCACGCCTCACATTCCGCCTCCGCTGAACATAGAATTACGACTGCAGGATGGTACCGGCGAGGCTGAGTTGCCGACCAATTTCGTTCTATCACCCACCACACTCATTGAAACAGGCCTGCCGAATCCACGGCACAAGATCCGTCGCCAGCTGAGAAGAAAATTCATCTATCCCGTGTTTTATATTCTGGGATGGATGGTTCCGTTTGCCGCCCATGTGTCCCAGGCTGATAGGACTGGACGCCCCTTCCCGCTGGTCCTGGCTGGGCTTATAAGCCTCTGCATTCAAGGCCTGGTGGACTCGGTGGTATTCTTGATGCTGGAAAAGCCGTGGCGTCATCGCAAGCGCCCCGCCTGCTTTATGCCTCTGCGCAAGTGCTCCACGATGAAGAATAGTTCGGCGAGAGTTGGCCGGACCAGAGAAGAGATGCTTGTTGAGGGCCGACTGGCAAAGACAAGAAGGGACCGGGAAGAGGAAGATCAACGACGTCAGCCACAACGGCTAGAGACAAAGAAGCGCGAGTGGTGGGATGCTAAACTTCCTGGGATAGACGAGTCGGGAGACGAGGATTTATAGTTGGCGCTTTGAGTCGGCATTGTAGATGCTGTACGACCGTAGCGTTTCTTGAGAGGTAAATACATTCAGTTAGTGTAGTGGACGCTGCATCGGCACTATACGGTCGTCTATTTGTGCATGTATTGCTGACAATAAGTAACCCCCCGACATCGGACAGTGTCTCGACCATCTACGTCCCCGAGCAATTGGCCAGGCTTGCTGGCAGTGTCTATTCGAACGAAACGGCGTCCAGCGTCAAATCATTGATGTACGCATCTAGTATCCCTCAACTCCAAAGTTTTGTGTTCGACTCCTGTGGAATCCAAGTTTCCTCCAACTCCTTGCGCAGACTCGGCCATTCCTCCCATCCTTTCCTTTTTCCCTTTTATTTATTTATTTATTTAAAATCTTGTTTGTTTGGCACGTCATATGACGGTTGAGCATCAGCCCTCGCGGAGAAACTTTAAAAATGCTCTCCCAATGGCAACACCGTCGTGCGGGACGGGCGCCCTCTTTATCGCATCCTCGTACACTTCGTCGGTGAAGATGCCCACAGTGTGTCGGTTAAACAGTATCTCGGAGATGATTTCATTTGTGAACTCGGGGTGGCCCTGGACAGTAATGTATTTCCCCGGGAGATACATTGCCTGCACGGGGCAGAAGGCGTTGCCGCCGAGGGGTATGGCGTCGGGGGGGAAGTTTTGGACAATGTCGCGGTGCATTTGGTGGATGCGCTGCCGGGCTTGTTAGCGATTTTTTGGGCTCTGGTGTTTTGCGCCGCATTTGTCGTCGCCGTCGCCTTACCATCTTGTCGAGACCAAACATCTCCTTGCCCTTGTCCGTCAAGTCGACCTCTGTGACGGCGACTTCCCACCCCTTGTCGCTCTTGCCGACGCCGGCGCCGACAGCGCGGCCGACGATTTGGTGGCCGAAGCATATGCCGACGACGCGAATGCGGCCGGTTTCAAGGGCTCTCTTGGTGAAGTCGACGAGTTTCAGGATCCACGGGTCGTTGTCGAAGGCGGTGTGGCGTGAGCCCGTGAGCAGGAGGGCGTCGACGTCTTCGAGGGCCGGGTAGCAGTATAGGTCGTTGACGACGTCGTGGGCGGTGATGGTGACCATTTTGGAGAGGTCCTGCGGCGGGCTCAGCGTCTTGGCCGCGCTCGATAGGAGGGCCGTGAAGACGCCCGCGTAGCCGCCGAACTGGGCGCGCGTTTGGGGCTGCGGCGTGTCGCATTCGAGGATGGCGAGGCGGAGGGCGGACGAGGAGCCCATTTTCGCGGCGCGTGCCGACGGCGTGGAACGGGAGTTGGAGGCGTGGAGGCGGATGTAGACGAGGAAAAATGACGAGCGAGAGGATCACGAGAGAGAAAGCGACGAGAGAGACTCGGAGGACCAGCGGGCTTCGGAGGGGCGGGACCGCGATTTACATTCAACGCTCAGGGACTCGACGGAAGGGAGCAGTAAGGATGGAGAGGAGGGGGGCGGGACGAAGTAGTTTTTCGTTTTAATACGAGGACTGAAGCCTAGCGCTGCAAGGAAATGTGGACTCTGGCGATGTGCCGGGCGGCGGTTTCCCAAGGTTGAAGGTCGAGGCGGGCTGAGGCGGGTTTCGAACCCCGGCGGCCCGATGTCGCGGGCGCACATGATGTGTGCAGTTGGCGGAGGAGGAGCTAAGAAAAGTACCTAATAAGTACTCCGTACCAAAGCGCGATCGAGTCGTGCATCCGTCGACAGGGGCCTGATGGTACGATGAGGCAACGGATGCAATACAAGTCTGTGGCTCAGCGGAGGAACTGTTGGAGCAGCCGCGAAAGATGCTGCGCAACTTGACGCTTTACGTACATACACGATTCAGTAGGGTCATGGGCTTGAACGTGGGATGCATGCTGGGACACGGAGCACAGACGTTTTGAATCGGGTGCATCTGCCGACGTGCATATGGTTTGTGCATGTTGTAGCACGACGGGATCTTTATGTTCTTGCGGTGGGAGGTAGTTGATACTGGGTTATGTAGCCTACAAAGCCTGTACAGCGGATGCGCATCTTGGCAAGATACAGCCGGAACAATGACGGACATGGCACTGCTCCACAACTAGCATGCCAACATCGTGTCTCATTAAGAGGCAGTGTTATTGATATGTGCAATGTTTCTATTACCGTCACCAACTGCCAAAAATAACTTGTCAGTTAATCCCCAGGCCTATGTACATACATACATACGTTTTAGCTGCCTCCGTAATTGTCTGACATTCCGGTCGATGCAACGCTGGTTCAACAGAGTTTAATTGAAATCATATGTATTTCGCCCCGTTCGTTGACCTGATTGGCCCCCGCCAGATTGTCAAGTTTTAAACTCCAAAACCAGACCCTTGACTCTTTTTGTTCTGGTGTATGCATACTATTTCCAGCAGACCGCTTTATCTTAACTGCCATTCGTAGCGCCATTTAGTTAGCCTTTGCAAAATGACAATAATCTGACAGATCCCTTGTATGCTGTCTGTTGACTTGGTTCGAATTTTCTCCCACATGCTTATTTGCCGTCTCTGATGCCTTTCTCTGAATGGATGACGGACACATGATCAGATTGCTTAGCCGTATTATAGATCACATTGCTTAAGGCAGATTGTTGGCGAGGGTTGATGCACATGCATAAGTCAATACGTCTGCGGTATTTTATTGGGACAGCCGTTGTAATATACGGAGCCGCAATCATAGCGGTCGTCCTGAGGACTTGCACATTAAATGGAGTAATTTGAGTATCTCGCCAGAAGTCATCCCTATCCTGATGGGGGCTGTCGGCGCTATTAACCATCGCTAGCTGAAGCGACAGTTTCATCAAGGGGAAATAGACAGGGTAATTTCATGATGCTTTTGAATGGCCATATAATGTATGTTGTTGAACATTGTTCTAGATTTTGAGTAACGCTCCAACGTCAGGTAGTTTACCCAGATGCTCTTGTTGACCGGTCTCATCATCTCTCTTGTGTCAAGTATTTAAAGAGGCTGTTTTCGTGTTGGTCGTCTCTGAATCTCTCCCGTGACAATCTATGAAAATAAAATAAATAAGAACTTGTATTAATATCGGTTAACGGTAATAAATCATCATGCGATAGGATCCCCATCCCAGAAACGTCGTGTTCGACCTGTTCCATAAGAGAGGCCCAGCATGTCAATATACCGTCGACCCTACAGACGCCCTGGACGATTCACTGTTGGCATAGCAACCGCGGTCACTGGTGGGTTGCTCGGTGCGCGCATGCAATTGACTTGACCCTGATTGACTGATTGACGTCAGCCTAAGCGCCAGCGCCAGCGACATTGCCGCGGTGCCGAAAACACCATTGCCCCACCAAGCCAAACTTGCCCATGCTCTCTCCATTTTATGTGCTCTGCACAATGCACCAGACCATAAAGTAGATGACGAGCTGGCAACGTGAGCGAAACCCATCATGTCTAGATTGACGCTGCAGGCGTTTCTGACAACCGCCCGCAACGCCCTCCGGGCACCGCCGGCCCAACGTGCCAAACCATTGACGTTTGTCGTCGGCAACGAATCCGCAGGTAAATAGATGACTCGTGCCAAAAACTCCCCGACACCCACCTCGCTGAAACATTCCACAACTCGGCCAGACCTCGACTCGCTCTGCTGCGCCATCGTATACGCCTACATCCGCAGCCACACCGCCCCCCATGCGCTGCACATCCCGCTCTCCAACCTGCCACGAGCAGATCTCGGCCTGCGTCCAGAAATGGCCGCCGTGCTGCAACACGCCGGCCTGGCGCCCGCCAACCTCCTTACCCTCTCCGAGCTGCCCGACCACCTCCAGCCCGACGAGACGCGCTGGCTGCTCGTCGACCACAACTGCCTGACGGGCCCGCTGAAACGCTTCAGAGACCGGGTCGTCGGCTGCGTGGACCACCACGTCGACGAGGGCGCGCTCCCCGGGGGCATCTCGCCGCGCGTCATCGAGCCCTGCGGCAGCTGCATGAGCCTCGTCGTCGACGAGTGCAGGCCCGCGTGGGCGCAGCTCCTCCAGGGGGCCGACGACGACATCCCGGCCCGCGAGCAGGACCGCCTCGTCAAGCTGGCGCTGGCGCCTATCCTCCTCGACACCATCAACCTGACGGCCGAGGCCAAGGTGCGGCCCAAGGACCAGCAGGCGGTGCGCTTTCTCGAGACGCAGATCCGCGAGCCGGGCTTCACCACGACGAGCTACTACGAGCAAATCAGCGCCGTCAAGGAGGACATCTCGGGCCTGTCATTCCGCGACATCCTCCGCAAGGACTACAAGCAGTGGGAGGAGGGTGGCCTCGCGCTCGGCATCAGCTGCGTCGTCCAGGGATTCGAGTACCTGCTTGAAAAGGCGGACACCAAGCAGGCCTTTCTGGAGGAGCTTGCTGCCTGGGCCGCCGAGCGCAGGTTGGACGTTGCCGCCGTCATGACTACTTCTCACCCCGGCGGCAGTTTCCACAGGCAGCTGTTGGTTTGGGGCACGACAGACAGGGGCAAGGACGCGGTTGGGAGGTTCAGGGACATTGGTCGGCCGCTGGGTCTGGAGCAGTGGGAGGACGGGGGCCTGGATGGCGATGATGGCGATGGGGGGAATACGAGGTTCGCGTGGAGACAGGCCAACTTGGCGGCGAGCAGGAAGCAGGTTGCGCCGCTGTTGAGGGAAGCCCTGAAGGAAGGGAAGTAGGGAGGTTTAGAACTTGGGTGTTGGAAAAGGGGGGTTTGGTGTTGGGTTCCTGGGTGGGTTGCGGGACATTCGGTTGGTTCGTGTTCGAATGATGCCAAACGTGGTTCGAGAATCCCTCTTCGTGATCTGTACACCTGCTTGCTTGGTGGGTTTCGTTCGACAGGAACGAAAGGTTAGCGCCACAACCTTGACGCCATGGCTGATGAAAAGATTGCGGAGTATCTCGAGGGAGGAGGAAACCATCAAAGACTGCGCTAATCGAAACCCTGTTCTCCAGGCTGATATATGAGGTATTATTTTTATCATTTATAGTACATGGTGAGGAGGACCCAGCCTTACAGTTACAGCTGTCATTAATATGATACATACATACATACTGTTATGATACAGGGGTTGAAAAGAACTTTACTCCTTTCAGTCTGGTAGAACAAAACTACCGGCGATGGCTCAATTCAGCTAGGTGTGTTACCATCCGTGAATCGGTGCAGGGCTTGTGCTCGCTCCTCTCGGGCTTGAGTGCCGACCAGATGGCGATGAGCGTCTTCGACCTCTCTCAGGACCCGCACAAACTCTCGATGCTGAAGGCGTCGTCGACCAATGAGGCCCAGTGAGTCCAGTGATGGTGGGTTAAGAAGCATCTCCTCTGCCGCCGGATCAGCGACCAGGATACAGGCCTTGAGCGCGTTGTAGACGGGGCCCGTGGGATAGACAGGCGGTTCCTCTTTCAGCATCTCCGGGTACACCCACCTCAACGCATCTATACACATACTGGCGTCTTGTGTAGAAACCATGACGCGATAAGCTAGTTCATATAGCTCTCCAGGTCGCGCAATTTGAAATCTGGCAGGCGCGCGAAAGGTGTCCCAAAACCGATCCCAGGCTTGTCGCTCGGCGTAGGCTTTCATCAGCCGCAGTGTCTGGCTATGTTCCAATGGTGTTTGGAGATTGAGCAGTAGGAATTCAAGGTTGCTTTGCGCACGCTCCAATTCTGGTCCATACGCAGCTGACGTGACTATGGATTCAATCAAAGTGACCAGCATGTCTTTGGATTGGACCGAGATTCCTCGCTCCTCGGCCGTCTGGAGTAGTTGATCCACAAGGTCCAGGCGTGTGGATGCATCGCCCTCTGAGTGGGATGCGTGAAATGCCGCTGATATTAAGCGCTCAAGAACTTGTTGACTCAGAGACGTCCCAGAAATGTGAAGGTCCGTGATCCGTCGCTGGAGGGTTTTGAGCTCAGAGTCTTCAGGCTCTGCTGCCAGGCTGGGATTTTCTGGTTCTTTGTTTTCAGAGCTGGCAGCTGCATAGTCTTGTGACTGCAGCCTTCTGGCATTCGTGGAAAAAAATCTCTGCTGCTGTGAAGCCTGCTGCAATTTCTGCCACTGAACACGCGACGAGTTATCGGGGAGCTGAATCTTGGATGATACCAAGGTCTCCAATTCGGTTTGGTCCTGAATGGGTTGTCCCTTGATCTTCATTGTTTGCTCCAAGTTCCGCTTCAACACGCCTTGCCACAGAGTTTCCAAATTAAGCTCATTTCGCCTTGGCTCCGTCATACACTGCACCACAATGGTGGTTCCAGTGGGAGAAGCGCCAAAGCCTGAGAAACGCCCGCTCTCATCATAGCTGACGGTTTCATCGGAGACTTTGTCGCTTGTAGAAAAGTTAACACACACCCAGCCAGTGGATATGCCATTGTCGCCACCTGGAAGAATCATCGTGTTGGTACCCATTAGCTTGGCCTTCTTTCGCAACCGTCGCAGTTTGGTCTTCAATTCCCCAGGCCCGATGAGCCCATCAGCTCGTGCATCCACTTTATAGTTTCTTCGGAGCCATCGCACGAAACGTCCAGATGAAATGTGCAAATGTCGCTCGCTCCGGGCTGTCGCAAAGAGCATAATGAGATTCGGACCAAGAGCGGCTGGGGGATCTAGATCACGCAAGTCCATTAGGGAAATATCATCCAAGCCCATATCTTCAAATATATATTTGATCATTGGAGCTATGAGTTCAGGAGATTCGTTGGGCGCATTTGGTACGGAAGGCGCATGGAGACTTGGGGGGTGCCTAGGCGGCTCGACCTCGAGGAACCAAGGGCTGTCGGTAGCAGACTCGGCTTCGATTGTGCGCTCTTGGGGCTCTTCATGATTATTCGAGCCGGTTGTGTCTTGCGTCTGCGTCTGCGTCTGCGCTGAACTGGACGCAATGCTTCGGTCGGTAGAGACGAATCTATGAGGTAGCCGGGGAATTTGGAGTGTAGAGCGAAGTCCCATATGTTGAAAGGTCGGCGTTGATCTAGCGACAACAGCTCTAATGATTGCACTTCTGCAGCCGCAGCACCCCAAAGTTGCGGCCGCTGGTCGTGAAATCATCCTGGCCGGTTTGGAGCACAACTGGTTTTTGAATCTGATGTTGCCACACGGAAGAACAGCTTTCCCTGCCTGGGGTAAGTACTGTAATTGAAGCTCTAACTTTTTTGTGGGACTCGCAGCGCTAGCACCGGGCCAGGCACGTGACGCTTCCCCAAAGTGGCCAATCTGGGGGGCCCTTACTTTGGAGCCCGGCGAAATTTTCGGACGGAGCTGTCCTCCTATCAGTGGCTGCGCGATCTTCAACCTTTGGTCCCTACCTTCTCTCCGCGCATTCGGTACTCGTGCGTAACCCATTCTTCATTCACCCAATGTATTTTTGTTGACTTTGATAGCTGTCATTTATATTCTCTAAATGTTTTGATTTCATCTCTTGCCTCGGCATTTAAGCAGCCTGTTGAGGCTACACTTCCCCCTTTAGCATCCGTGCTGTTTACCACTACCTTGAGAACAAGATGCTCAGTCGACAAACAAGGAGCAGCGTACTTGCTCATCGAGTGGCAATAACCAGATCAGCTGGGCCATCGACTAGATTCCATTCCATTGCGTCAATACGGTTATCAACACAATGCCAGAGATCAATAGTTACGCTCCAGTGTCGGCCATGGCGAAGACGTGGACCGGAGTCCTCCCTGGGCCATTACTTCCACGAAAGAAGCTTGGCGACGGCCGTTGACGACTTGAAGTTTGAAGTTATGCCGTATGAGCACCTCACAAACCCTTCCATGGCGCCATTTCAGCCTTCCTCACTTCGTTCCCATGACATTCAGACATTCGACTCTCCAGCCCCATTAACGATTCCGGAACCTGGGCCTCCCAGGGCACCGACTAAAATTAATACATATGGCATCCCCGGCGAAATAGAAGATATGCTCCCTGTATTTGATGCATGTATTCGTGTTGGGAAACTGGACAGGGCCGCTCTGGTGCTGAAGAGATTCAATGCAGTGGGAGTTCTCTCCGGCGAGGAGCGTATTTTACTCAACAACCAATACCTGCGGGCATCACTCAAGCAGATGCGCAATAGCCCCGACCGACGACAGGCCGAAGAATTACACAAGTGGTACGAGATGCAAATCCGCAGCAAAGGCCTTCCACATACTGCCGAGACGATTGCTTGCATGCTCAAGGCGTCCCTTCTTTCAGAGCGAGGCTCGAGACTTGACCGCCTGGTTAACAGATACATGGGTATGGCCCCCGGCGAATCGGGTCTTCGGGTTCTCAGCATGGATGATATCCTCAGCGATCAAGATCTGGCAGTCATCACCGAGATTTGCCCAAAGTACAATTTCACCGTGGAGCCGGCCGAGGACATGGAAATGTCCGAGTTCACTGAAGAACATCCTGAATTAAGATCAACTGAAGCCTCTGTTGACGAGGCCGTCGATGCCATATCGCGCGGCGAGGCAACGGAGCTTATACCCACCCCACAACGCGGTACGGGACTGGCGTCACTGAAGGAAGGACTTCACCTGCTCAGGGACTTGCAGGACGTGGATATTTCGAAGATGTCGGATGCCGATCGACGTGATATTCAGTTGCAGCTAGAGCGAGATTCAATTGGATGCGCCATCAGCCGGTGGAGAGAAGCTAACAGGAACCTTGCTCAGATGGGGATCAGCACTGTTGTCTCCGCATCATCGGCTGAAGAATCGCTCTCTTGTCGCATGGCGGGATGGCTTGAATGTTTAGAAGAGAAACTGAAGGAAGAATTGGCTTTGATCAAGATTTCTGAAAACAAACCTACCAAGTCTGATCAAGATCTCGAGAGGTGCCTGTACGGACCATTGATAAGTCAAGCCGATCCTTCTCGGCTGGCTGCTCTTACAATTCTTTCTGTTCTCAGCCTTGGAGCTGCGCAGGGCGTGGACAAAGGAATTGTGGTGAGCAGGCTTGTAACCAACATTGCCAAGCTTGCACAGGAAGATATTGAGACACAAAGGATGGAAAAGGCCAAAGCAGATGCTAAACGCGCGGCCAAGAAGCTGGGTAATGGCATTAAACCCAATCGCCAAGTACACTTTACCGGCACTACAACGGACACAGAAACTCGTACAATTAGTCAGCCCAACAATGAAACTACGACAATCATCGACGATGCCTCTGAGACGGCCAAGGAACTGGAAAATGCAACTCGCGAGCCGTGGTCCATATCCATCCGTGCACAGGTTGGCTCATTCTTACTAAAAACGCTCATCGACAATGCTTTTGTCAAGGTTACGATGGAGCATCCTACGACGAAGCAGACCATTAGTCAAAAACAACCGGCATTCACACACATGCAGCAGCCTCGCAGGGGTAAAAAAGTTGGCGTGCTCCATTACAACTCGAATCTCGTGCAGCAACTGAAAAAGGAACCCATCGGTGACTACATTGCCAAGCATCTACCAATGATTGTTGAGCCCAAACCCTGGCGTCAACTGAATGAGGGAGGGTTTTTGGATAGCAGAACAACATTTGTTCGTGTGAAGTCGGGTGATGTGGAGCAAAAGCTGTACACCGAAGCTGCCATCAAAACAGGTGATATGGCGCAAGTTTTCAAAGGTCTCGACGTCCTCGGCAAGACTGCCTGGCGGATCAACAAGAATGTGCTCAATGTCATGATGGAAGCATGGAACAGTGGAGAAGAAATCGCCAATATGCCGCCCCTGAACCCTGAATTTCATATCCCCGAGGAGCCGGATTCCTCCGCCGATCCATTGCTGCGAAGAAGCTGGATGCAAGCTGTCAAGGCGATCGAGAATGAACGGTCCGGTATGCACTCTCAGCGCTGCTTTATGAACCTCCAACTCGAGATTGCACGAGCGTTTAGGAATCAGACCATGTACTTCCCGCATAATATCGATTACCGAGGACGCGCATATCCGATGCCGACGTACCTTAATCATATGGGCGCCGACCACGCAAGAGCAGTTCTCAAGTTTGCCAGGGGAAAGGAACTCGGAGAGAGGGGCCTTCGATGGCTCAAAATCCACCTTGCTAATTTGTACGGGCTGGATAAGTCGAGCTTTGACGAACGAGAGGCCTTTACCAATGACAATATCCCCAATATCATCGACTCTGCCTCGAACCCTTTGAATGGAAGTCGATGGTGGCTCAAGGCAGAAGACGCATGGCAGTGCTTGGCTGCATGCTTCGAATTGAAGGCAGCGCTGGAACTTCCGGACCCAACCAAGTTTGTCTCGCAGCTTCCTGTCCACCAAGACGGCACTTGTAACGGTCTCCAGCATTATGCCGCCCTAGGCGGTGACACGTGGGGTGCCAAGCAGGTCAATCTCGAACCCGGCGAGCGGCCGGCGGATGTTTATTCTGCAGTGGCAGATCTTGTTAAGCAGGCCATCGACAAAGATGCCGAGGCTGAGAATGAATTTGCGCTGGTGCTTCAAGGCAAAATCACAAGAAAGGTTGTGAAACAGACAGTCATGACCAACGTTTACGGTGTCACGTTTGCTGGAGCCAAGAAGCAGGTTTGCAAGCAGATTGATGCCTTGTACCCTGATCTGGGAAAGGAATGTGGTATACCCAACTTGGTCCTTTCCACATATATCGCCAGACTCATCTTCAACGCTCTAGCAACCATGTTTCGCGGCGCCCATGATATCCAATACTGGCTGGGTGAAATTGGTGGCCGTGTCTGTCGGGCATTGACACCAGCCCAGCTCAAGGAAATCCGGGACAGTTACGAGAAGGAAGGGCGTAAGAAAAAGGATGAATTAGATGATCTCATGAAACAGTTTCGCTCCTCTGTTGTTTGGACAACGCCTCTTCGCATGCCAGTCGTCCAGCCGTATCGAAAAAGCACAGCTAGGGAGATCCGGACCTGTCTCCAATCAGTGGTCTACCCAGTCAATGAACAAACCGACCCGGTCAACAAGAGAAAGCAGCTTCAAGGCTTCCCACCTAATTTTATTCACTCCCTGGATGCAAGCCATATGCTGCTGTCAGCCCTACAGTGTCACGAACAGGGATTGGATTTCGCGGCGGTTCATGATTCATTCTGGACACATGCTGCTGATATTGATACCATGAATGGCATTCTGCGAGAGGCCTTCATTCAGATTCATGAAGACGACGTTGTTGGCCGCCTTGCAGCTGAGTTTGAGGCCAGACACAAGGGCTCACTCTACCTGGCTCATCTTGACCCTTCTTCTCCCGTGGCTAAGAAAATCAAACAATTGAGAAAAAACAGCAAACTCTGTCCAAAAGAAGAGCTAGTCTTGGAGTACAAGCGCAATTCACTCAGACTTTCGGGCAATCCCTGGGATTTAGAAGCTGCCAAGAAGATTGTGACACCAGCATCCGTTTATGAGGAGATGGCAGGAGCAGAAATAGACGTCAGCATCAGCGAGGACGCCAAAAACATGGGTTTGGGTGAGATTCCGCAAGAGGAAGCAGATAACGACGAAGGGATGACTGCAATCGAGATGAGCGAGGACATGGCTGCTGATGAGGATGGTATAACGAACTCTGACGATCCACATGACGCCGCAGTCTTGTCTAAGCGCCTGATGGCGAATATGAAGATCAGTCACTTTGAGTCACAGTTAATAGGCGCGAAAAAACCAAACAAGTCGACCAAACGAGTTACCAAACGTGGTACTGCCGTGCCGGTGTGGCTGCCTCTCACTATCCCAGCCATCCCTAAGAAGGTAATGCGAACGCAGCAACCCATGTAAACTCCTACACTTGACAGACAGCTAACATATTATATAGGGCGACTTTGATGTGACGCGTCTTCGAGAGAGCAAGTATTTCTTCTCCTAAAACACGTTTCGTGTTGTATAAAATAAACAGCGACTGGAGTTGGCATTTGGTGTATTTTATTGAGCGTTTACATTTATCTCGGGGAAGCATTTACATTGGCGTTTTATCGGCATTGCCTTGGAAAAAGAGGCACTTGATTCACATCACCTTAGCTTAGTCGGCCAGGCGTGTACGCCTCTCAAATACTTGCACATAGCGGCGGTATATGTACTGTATATTAGACGGAGTATTTCGAAAAAGAGGAAACGCAAATAATTCAGATATAATTGCGCATTATGCCAACCAAAGATGTAGTGAATGCCCAGGATGTGAGTTGTGAGTCGAGTTTTATTGTAAGTCTAATTGCGCTTTCATTCATCCGCATGGTTCTATGTGACATCTATTTATCGCACAGCAGCGCCCTTCAGGGTCTGAACAGTGCAGACGCCGCCAGACTCGGTGACCAGCTTGCCAATGCCAGTCTTGCCAAGCTTCTCAACAACAGCAGCGTCAAACACAACCTCCAAGTCACCAGTGGTAGTAAACCCAGGCTGGAAAGTCTCCCAAATCTTCTTCTTGGGATTCAGCACACCCTCAGGCTCGCCCGCCCAACCTTCAAAGAAGACACGGTCGCCAGCCTTGGAGCCCTCTGGAGGGGCAACCAGTTCCACCGGGCCCTTATCCTCGTCAACCTCGCCCTCCTTGACCTTGGGAGAGGCAGCCAGAACCATGGCGCAAGACTTGATTCCTCGCATCTTGACGGGCTTCAGGTTACACACAACTACAACCTTGCGACCCTGCATCTGTTCGAGGGGAATAAGGCCGTTAAGACCAGAGCAGACGGTTCGGCAGATTTGGCCCTCATATTCAGTGTAGTCCTCGTTGCCGGCCGGGTCGCCCATGGCAATGGTTGAGACGTACAGAGAGTCGGCGTCGGGGTGCTGTATGGCCTTGAGGATGTGACCGACACGGAGATCAATCAGGCAGGGCGACAAGGGAGCTGCGGCAGGGGCAGCTTTAGGCTGCTTGGGAGCCTTTTCCTTCTTTTCCTTCTTGGGCTTATCACCACCACCACCACCAACGGCGGCAGCGGCGGCACCCTTGGCCTCGTCAACCTTCTCCTTCACCTTTTCCTTGGTACGGTCAACCAAGCTGGCCTCCTTGTTTCCATCAACGGCGGCCGCAGCAGCGGCCTTCTCCTTCTTTAAGCGCTCCTTCTCAGCCTTGGCATCCACGGGGGGCTTGACGTAGCGAACGTCGTCCTGGTCAACCTGAATCTTCTGGTCCTCTTTGAGCTCAAGGCCAAATAGGGCAGAGTTCTGTACAAAGTCAAGGTGCCGGACGATGTGAGGGTGGCCCTTCTCGCCGGTTCGCTCATCGGGAGACCATTTGGCGACGATGGGGGAGAGGGTCTCATAAATTGCTACGTCTGCCTTGCTGGGCTTGCTGCCGAGAAGGGTGGTTCGGCTGGCGAGATGGCTGTTTAGGGTCTCAAGGATAGTGGCCTTGTCCTCGCCAGACTTGAGGCGGTCTGACGTGGTGAGCCACTGCTGGATTTCGGTCTCCTCGGTGGGAGTATATGTCTGGTTGGCGATGGAAGCCATTCTGCTCAATTGGGTGAGTGGAGCGGGGGAAAGGGCCCTGATGGTAGGACGAAGAGCTCGAAGGCGAAACAGTTTCGCTACGGTGGGTAGAGAATGTCGCCGGTTCTGTATGAAGGCGATTTCTCTTAATTGAGGTGTGGGTTATCTATGTCTGGACTGATAATTTTTTTAAAAAATGTCAAGTTCCAACGGCGGGGTTGTTTGACGTTGGTCAGCTCGGAGGGGCCACACCCAGTTGCACCATTTTGCAACAGCCAGTACCCCGTACCCCGTACTGAGTCAGTTCCTGGTGGCAGGGGGTAGCATGGCTCCTGCCTCTTGCGTCGCACCTGCAACCGTCCGTCACGCGAAGCACGTGACTACGCGCGACTTCGCGTTACCAGCGCCATGACTTTTAATTGAGACTGGCGCGTGCGCCCTTCACAACCCGTTCATATGCGCCGCCAATTCATTCTGGTTCACAATTGCTTCAATTTGGCATCAACTTTTGGATTCGACGGAAGAGGTCATATTTTGGAAACTTTGAGTTCATTTTTTGTTGAAGATACAAACTGTCAGCACAAATTCTCCGCTCAATCTCTCTTACTCCCCGAGTGGCAACTTGGGATCTGACTTGAGCCCTGCGAGTTTAAACGCAACATCCACCAAGACAAATACTACTGCGTGCGTTATACTGTCTTCCGCGGATATCAATTCGCGGCCACGACTATATCACCATCGGCATTACCACTTCATGATGGATATATTGTCGTCATCGGACGTTGAATCAGTCTCATCAGAAGCCCCGGCCATGACGAGCCCTCCGAGCTCGCCGCCTCCCATGGCATCGCCTAAGTCTGACGTATTACATCACATTACTGAAAATAGTCTCCTGAAGGAAGAGCGGGAGGCGCGTGATGAGAACAGAAAGGCAGAGGAACAAAAGGCAATTGCTGCTCGAAAACCAAGAAAGAAGAAGAAGGCCGAGACTAAATCAGAGCGCGAGGCCAAAGCTCGGGAGTTAGACGAGTTGCTAATGAAGAGCGCGGCTTTCAGTGATATCCTTACCAAGAAGACGCAAGTTCTTGGACGAGTTGGCAGCAGTCTTGATGGTAAGACGCTAGGCGAACATAATCTGCAAATGGCGAAGCAACCCAAATGCATGGTAGGAGGAACTATGCGCGACTACCAGTTAGAGGGCCTAACTTGGATGTTTGAGATTTGCTCTCAAGGCATGAGCGGGATTCTTGCCGATGAAATGGGATTAGGTTTGTAGCTGTCCCTTGACTTCCATGTCTTTGTGATGCTGACTAGATTAGGCAAAACTGTTCAGACCATTGCTTTGATCGCACTGCTCCGTGAACAGGAAAACTACCTCGGACCCCATCTCATCGTCGCGCCGTTGAGCACGCTGTCGAATTGGATGGACGAGTTCCACAAATGGACTCCATCCATTCCCGTCATCATGTATCATGGAAATCAAGCTCAACGCCAAGAAATCTTCCGGACTAATATGCTGAAGAACCTCAAAGGTGGCAGACCGACGACCAAATTTCCGGTTGTTTGCACTTCATATGAAATGGTTTTGCGAGATCAGCATAACCTGTCCCGGATCCAGTGGGAATTCATTATTATCGTACGTGCTAGGAAACCTAGCTGACAGGTCTACATATCTCTAATTTCACTACAGGATGAAGGACATCGGATGAAGAATGCAGAAGCCAAGCTCTTCCAGCAACTACGGCAATTCTCATCCGCGACAAGACTGCTAATTACAGGTACTCCTCTGCAGAACAACTTGAAAGAGCTTTGGTCATTGCTACATTTCTTGCTGCCGAATATCTTCACTGACTGGGAAGCATTCGAGTCATGGTTCGACTTTTCGGATTTGGAGGACGAGAGAAGCACCGAGGAATTTATTGCCGATCAGATGAAGCAGGACCTAGTTAAAAAGATCCATCTTATTCTACAGCCCCTGCTGTTGCGCAGAATCAAGCAGGATGTTGCGGCGTACCTGCCTAGAAAGCGGGAATATGTTCTGTTCGCGCCCATGACAAAGGAACAGACGGATCTCTACAATGTCTTTACCAACAAAGAGATTGATACGAGGCAATATCTTGAACAGAAAGTCACGGAAAAGGTCAATAGCGCGATGGCATCGGGCAGTTCAACTCGCGCATCCTCGCGATCTAGTAGTCGCACTGCGGCGGCTGCCAAGAAGAGTGGAAGCTCAAACAAAAGTACCATTTCTCTTCCCGTACGGCAAAGCCCCCGTGGCAAGAAAGCGGAAAACAAGCCAATATCCTCGATTCCAAATGCTTTTAGCCTGATGATGGGGAAGCGTTCAGCCAGCCAACCCCTGAAGGGAGACGCGCAGAAAACCCCGGCAACCCCGGCAAAGCAGGCCACAAAGAGGAAAAGCCCGCCAACCTCTGTGAGATCAGAGACAAAGAGTGCGAGATCAAGCCGTCACTCAACCCCAGCTAGCACTCGTGGTAGATCACAGAGAGGAAAGACATATGCAGAGGCGGACTCTGGTGAGGAAGACGCCCTGTCTGATGATGCATTCGAAGCCAAGCTCGCAGGTGAGGTAGAGAGCGAGGAGGAGGAGGAAGTCGATGAACTTCAATCACCGGAGGAAGTCGAGCGAGCCCAGACATTAGAACTTGCCAGTAAGTTTTGGGTAGCATTATGTTCAGAATCTAGCTAATTCCGTTATCCAGAAAAACAGTTGGCGCAGAAGAAACTGGGAAACCCGCTGGCTCAACTGAGACTCGTGTGCAACAGTCCTCACAATTTCTATAACCCCTGGGCTACATCCACCCACATTCCTGTCGATGAATCCATTATTACTTGCTCGGGCAAAATGCTGCTTCTCGATCGACTCCTGCAGAAGCTGTTTGATAGGGGTCACAAAGTCTTGCTATTCTCCCAGTTCAAAACCCAACTGGATATCCTGGAAGATTATAGTAGAGAGCTCCGAGGTTGGAATGTCTGCCGTATCGACGGATCTGTCCCGCAAGACAGCCGTCGCCAACAAATACATGACTTTAATAATGACGCTGACTATAACCTGTTCCTACTATCAACCCGAGCAGGCGGCCAGGGCATCAATCTGGCATCAGCGGACACTGTCATCCTCTTCGACAGCGATTTCAACCCGCAGCAAGATCTTCAAGCGCAGGACCGGTGCCACCGCATCGGCCAAACCCGCCCCGTCATCGTATATCGCCTCGCTACAAAGGACACAGTTGAGGAGTCTCTCCTAATGTCAGCGGACGCCAAGCGCCGTCTAGAAAAGCTCGTCATCAAAAAGGGTGGATTCAAGACTATGGGTCAGAAGATGGAGA